TGAGACAATATTTTGACATGTTATTAGGAGTTTGGATGAAAAAAAGGTTAAAATAAAGTGAACCAAATTCCCAATTCCAATGGTTATTCAAAAAGGCTTACGGCTATCAACGAAAAACTGTCCAATGGAAATTTCTTTTCCTCTTTTTCCAACTCTCATCAATTCATTTCAACGGAAAATTCAGAACATTTCAGTTTATTCAGGTTGATAGAAGACACCTTTAAGCAAATTTCAACTGGACTCGATTCAGGGAATGAGAAGATTTCTCAATTTGTTCAAGTGAATAACTGTTCATCTGAAAATGGAGATTCTTTTGGAAATATTTTCTCTTCTTTTCTTTCTTTTCTGTTTCACCTTTTCAACCTTTCTTTTTGTTTACTTTTTGGATAAACTTTGATATTCACTTTGGTAATGTTAACAATACCTTTTAACATGATTGAAATTTGATGACCTTATTATGAGTTGAACAACTTCAAGATTTGATAATCTGATATTGAAAGAAGATGAAAAGTGAATCTCTTAATGCAACCTTTTTTTGTTGCTCTTTTCACGATAATATTGTTTCTTCAGTTTCAATCAGGGAAAATTGTTTGAACAATGAAGTAACAAAATGAAAATTATCTTCAAAAATGTGACTCAAATGAATAAAAATATTTATTGAAATGTGAAAGTTGATGATAAAAATAATAAATGTCATCAGAAGAAATTATGGAAAAATTGGAAAGCTTAAAATGGGCCGAAAATGCTGATATTTATTGCAATCTCTATTTTCACATTGTTTTTATTGTCATTTTATTCATTTTTTGTCTCTTTTCTCATGATATTGAATTACCTTTTCTTCTTGAAACATTTTCATCTCAAGAATTTCTGATTGTTCATAAATTCCAAAAATTGAGCAAAGCTATCAAAGGAAAACCTGGCAAGGATAAAAGAGTTTTTCTTGACGAAATTTTTTCTCTGTTGCTAAACATGATTGAAATTGAGAAATGTAAACATGAAAGGAAAACATTTTACAATAAAAAAACCAAGAATTTCATTCGAAAAACGATCATGAAATTAGGTTTTAAGAAGTTATCAAAAAGAAATTAACAGAATTTCCATTTTTCTTCAGTTGAAACCAGATAATTAGAAAATGATTTGGAATAAAATTCATCTTTAAACATGAAAAGTGATAAAGTGGTGAATGCCAAAGTAAAGCTCATCAAAAATCATTTCCTGATCGATGTTGAGATTTTGAGGTTTGACAAAAAATGAATTTACAAGTTAATGTTAAGTTAATAAAAAAACATTTAATATTGACAAGTGTTGGTGAGCGTCTTTAATCTAATGGTAAACAGATCAATCTATTTCATGACAAAACTCTTATCAACATTCTGTAATCATGAGCATAAAAAATGAAAATTTTAAATCAATAGCTTTTGTCCATGAAACAAGCCTGAGTGTGAATCGAGTTTGAAAGCAATGAAAATGTTTAAAATTATCTCAGTGATGGTAAAAGCTTTTTCACTCCTTTAATTGAATATAGCTTGGAGTGAAAGTTTATCAAAAACAAAAGAGAATAAAATTGCATATTTTTTTGCTCGATTCTCGTCCCTATCAACATAATCGAGTTCGTCAGGAAGAGACTGAGAAGAGTGAACATGATTCGACTGATGAGTTTATTAGCAACATTTTTGAGCCACTGTTTATTTCCTTTTCTGGTCAAAATGAATTTCCTTGTTGAGACTGAACCGGATTTCCTTGAAAATGGATATTTTCAACTTCCTATTAGTCAATGGAAACATTGCAAGAGATAACAGTAAAAGAGATGAAATACTCGAAAAGGTTCATCATGAAATGAGTCAAGAGAAAGTTGCTATTTACTGTCATTACAAGAATTGTTTACCTGAGAAGAAAAAAGAGGGAAAATAATTTCATTGACGAAAAGGGAAGCTGAACGTGATTCGTTATTATCGAATTGAAATTGATAATATATACGTCTGTAATGTTTCCTCCCAGTTATATCATAACAGGATTCTAATATAATTCCAGCAATAATAATAGCAATGATTATCTTTTATTTCATTTTTTTCTTTCCTTCTTTTCGTTTCGTTCAAAGAATTAAATACTTTTTCTTTTTTTGTTGCTACTCTGTCTATCATTATTTTTTTTACTTTTTTTCATGCTCATTATGTACTAAGATATGACAATGCTCAACGTTAAATGAATATCATTATTGTTATTCTCTTCTTTACTTTTCACTCCCAGTCACTTTTATTCATTATGATTCGCTTTCGCTTCTCATGGGGTTTACAGTTGTTCAACTTGGATGTCATGAAGGTTGTCACAGTTATTTTCAAGATTCAACTTATCTGAGGTTTTACTTTTTTTCCTGACTTTCTTTTCTTCTTCTCATAATTTTCTCGTCCTTTTCATCATTTCTTTCTCATTCCCAGTCATTCCCTTTACTCTTTACTCAATAGGAAAGGGAAAGAAGACGAAATTGATAGATAAATAACAACGCCAGAAGAATATAAAAAACTGAGAATGAAAAGGAGGACAAAATTATTAATGAAAATTTGTGCTCATAAATGATTATATTAATAGCATGTAAGGTCAATTAAATTATCGCATTTTGACAGGTTAAAACACTAATGGAAATTGAAAGGTCAAGTTAAATGAAAGATGATTTGTTGGCTCTAAAGAAGTAATTATAAAAGGATTTTCTTTCGAATTAAAAGTTCGGAATCTGTGGGTTTGTACAGAAACAGAAAATTTCATTTCTCAAATAAGTGCATTTTCTGGTTGACCACCAAAAGTTACATCAGTAAAATGAGTTTTGTGAAGAAATCTACTTTCATAATTGAATAGAAGGCGATTGAAGTTTCAACTTTGACCTCGATTTTCTCGAAAACTGTCAGAGAGACTTTATTGCACAAATGGACTCAGATTTATGGGCCTACAAACCCACGAATTGCGAACTCTTAACTCGAAAGAAAAATTGTATGTAAAATGAAAGTTGAGTTACTTTAACGTTTCAACAAATTGCATTTTACGTTAAATTCAAAACTTAACTTCTAATCTTTTCTTTTCTCAACAGATCAAACAATTTTCTCAGAATGTCAGAACTAATGAAGCTGAGTCTTCAGGATTAATCGAAGTTTAGCGTCGAAATTTTTTCCCTGCACATTCGACTTCAATTTAGACAGCATTTGTAAGTTTTGTCGAGATTAACCCAAAGTTGAAACATTACACTTTGTGACTCGGCTCAATTTCGACTTATAAAGTTTCAAATTATTCTGAGAAAATCTTTAAATCTAAATTAATCCATTTCGCTAAAACTCGGAAATCTGGCAAAATCTTATTCTAAGCAGGGAATTGAAAGAGAAAATTCGATTCAATTTCATTGAAGAGATTTCATTTTCATCTTGAAAGCAATGTTGAAATTAGCTTACCAAATGTCCATTTCATCTTTGAATGAAAGCAACTTTGAATAGAGTAAAAAGTATTGGATGGTTCCATGAGTTGAAGTGAATATTTGAAGGAAAATGTCATCTTGAATTTTATTAGTTGTGTCATGGAAACGATAACAGCAAATAATGTCAACTCAATAAAAAGGGAAAAATATTTTGCCTTTACATTTGAATTTTGTGATTTATTGAGATTTGTAAACTTGTTGTAAACACATCAAATTGAAGAGCGAAGGAGCAAAAAATGAGTTTAAATAAAAATCATGTTAACACAGAAAACAATAATGAGAATAAATTGCTCAACTTTTACTGATCGAAAAATGAATAACTTTGAAATCGTGATTTGTCCATGATAACATCAAGAATAATATCATAAAAGTAAATGGAGAGCAATAAATATTAAATAAGATGGAGCGATAAAATGATGACAACATTCTTAATCATTTTACATAATTAATTAGACTCTTTCAGTTATAAGGTTATAATTATAATGTCAATGAGTTTATTACATTTTCTTGGTTGAATATCATTATAATTAATTTGTTATTCATCAGAAAGTTAACAGAAGAAAAGAGAAGAAGAAAAAACTCCTTACAGGGAGTGATTATTATCGTTGTTGTACATTTGGTTCATTTTCTTAGTAAATTTACTAATCAACTTCTCGTTAGAATAAGATGAGTTCATGGTTCCATGATGCTTTTCATCAGACATTTTAATGCTTCTCAAATGATTTGGTAAAAATTTACATTCAATTCCCAGGAAAGGTTTTGCTTCATATTCAGAGAAATGGAACAAGAGAAAAATATTGAAAGGTTTTCCTCTTTTGTTTCATGAAACAAAAGACTAAAGTAAATGAATAACACGATAGTGAATGCAAATGGATTCACAAGTTGCATCAATAACAGATGAGAAGCAAGATGGAAAGATGAACAAGACATTTGGATAAGAAAAGCTTTTTGTAAATATTTAAACAGGTAAACTCGAATTGAATAGTTTGACAAAGCCTTCAACTGCGACATTGTTAATGAACTAAGAAGTTGCTCTAAAGCATTACAAGTTGATTGGGACAATTAGATTTTGTAACAAATTGGAAAAGTACTTTTTTGTCAAATTCAAGATTCTCTGCTATTCTTGCAATTAACGAGTCAATTGTGGAAAGAGTTTTAACCCAAAAATTTAACCAATTTTTTAACCTTGAATGGTTACATTTGTATTGTGGCTAATTGTTTGACTCGATTTTTTGGACTTTTTTGCTCAATCAATTGGATTCATTCAAGTTACTTTTTGCTGCCAATCGACATTAAAATTAAAGTAAATCGTGTTTTTGTTTCAACTGTATTTTGTCGGTTAAATGGTTTAAGAATTGGATTTTTGTTTTTTCTTACTTCGACTCTGCTTTGGTTTAAGTTGAATTGTAATCTGATTTATGGATTACGTTGACTTTGGAATTTGATTGTTTTCATTTTCTTGGCAACTTCCAATTTAAAATGTCTTTTTTGATCCATTTTAAACTTGGATTTTAAGAGATTAAACTTTATCCATGTTACTCACCTTGAAAATGTAACCTTCGTCTTTGGTTAAACCAATGTATTTACCGCACTCTGTTTGTACAGCAAGACTTTCATTGATGGGTGATGAAAGATCAGGTGAACCCTGAAGCGATTCAGATGATACCGAGTGCAAGTGTTCAATTGATGATGATGATGGTGATGAGTGGTGTTTGGTAAAAGTGATTACACCAACCAATGATAGTATCAGCATTATGGTTATGGTTAAGGGTAAAGGTTTACATGAATTGGTTAACATGGGTTTACAAGTGTTTCTCTGGTTTTCTGGTGAACAGTCTGATGGTGTTGCAGCAGGAGTTGAGGTTAATGATGAGCCTGGTTGGGAGATTGATGATGAGCCTGTTGAGAAGTAAGATGATGTACTAAAGGGTTGCTGTAATGATTGGTTAAAGGTAAAACAGTTTGGTTCCCTTGAACTGCTTCGATATCCATCATTGGCTTCACCACGAGTGGCTCGATAATTGGCTAACAAAGACATGTTTTCACTTGAATCTTCTCTCATTTGAGGGAATCGCAACTCATGGAAAAAATGGAAAATTGTTTCAAATCCAAATGGAATTTTTAGTTGATAAACAGAACTGAAGAAGCAAAAGTTGAACAGTAAATTATTGAACAACTTGAGATGAACAAAAATTTATCCTGTGTAATGCTCCAGTTGATGATTATGATAACACTTTTTGTGTTTAGTTGGCAAAAGAAGGGTTAAAAGTGTTTGTTTCAGTTGAAAAGAGAAGTGAACATTTTTTTTCGTTGAAAACTTTTCAGATGAAAAGGAAAGAAAAAGTAACGAGAAACGAGATAAAGTAGATGAAGATTAAAAAGGAATCATGATAATGATGATGAAGATGGTGAAAATGAGCATGAGAATGATGGAAATACAAAAAAAAGGATAAAAAGTGTTGAGATGTTTCTCTATGAAACTCTGTTCTTGTTGTTTCCCTGAAAATACTCAGACTCAGCTGCTACCTGATTCAAGTGAGACCATTGAATCTTCTCAGTTGCTCAAGTTCCAACAGTTTTCAAGCAGAATCTTTTTCACCCTGTTGTCAATGAAAGTGAACAGAATCAGAAGATGAACTTTTATCTGAAACTCATCTTGTGGCGACCCCTGAGTCACAGTTTTGTTCAAATGTTTAATTGTGATAAAAGAAGATGAGAAAAGATATTAATTTCATTTCACTCAATATAACAACAAATTACATCAATAAATGTACAAGAATTTTGACATTTTTGCCGATTTCATTATTCTTTTCATTGTTTTGTTTTACATGAAATTTCATTGATAATTGAGTTCTGAAAATATCTTGTGTTGATATTTTCCTTTACTTCTTTTTTACTCGCACTAAATGTTTTCTTTTGTAATCATAACATTCTATAAGAATTTGACTTGAGGATAATTCAAGAATTACAATGAATAACCTCAGGTAGACTTTACCTTTTCATGATGGTTCGAGACTAGTAATCTATAAAAGATGAAAAACTGCTTCAGCTTCATATTCATCAATGGAAAACGGAAAAGACAACTGATTCTAAAGCCAAGCAGTGCATTCAGTTTATCTCAAAAAAGTTCAATTAACCCAAAAATTTTACGTCTCAATGTTAGTAAAACCATTTTGCAAAACTAAACTTTTTTTTGAACATTTAGCAATGAAAACATAATTAAATTGGTTTGATGTTTAATCGGCAAAATGTTGATTAACTTAACAAACACATTAACTTTAAATGTTGTAGCAAATAATTGTCAGAACAAAAGCTTTTTCACTTTTTCTCAAAATCAACAATCTGGTCTCATAATTGTCCATTCAAATTGACCATTTTCATTCCTAGTTGCATCTGTAATTAGAGTAAACTTTAAAAAGACTAATCTCATTATAATTAACATTTACCAACTAATTTAAGTTACATGGCTGAGTAAACCAATAAATGTATGTCCATGAAATTGTTGAATTTAAACAGATAATTAACCATTTAATGTAAACTTTAAACCATTTGTTAGAGTTGATCATTTGTAAAACATTCACAGTTTTGTCAAATTACAATAAAAAGAGCAAAATCTGAATAATGTTTAAACACTAAAGTTATGATTAAGTCTATCTACGATCTACAATTGCATCAATCAAAAAAACTTCTTGAGATTCCCATTGAAAGTGTATTTTTATGTGTGTGTGTGTGTTCAACTTGCCTACTGTCAACAATCATTTTCATCACGATATTTTCAGTTTTCAATTTTTTTTCTTCTTCTTCACCTTTTCTTTTCTCCATCATTTTTACTCTCCTTTTCGCTTTACCCTTCACCTTAACATCATTTATTTGGTATCATCATAAATCACAAGTAAATTGCATGTTAAAGCATAACATGAAACTTTCTTCTTTCTTCTTCTTTTTTCCTTCCTTGTAATATTCTTGACTCTCAATGCATGCATATAAATGTATATATGCATTCCCAGTCAGTATTATTATGCTTCATAATAATGTGCGACATTAAGTTTATCAAAAGAAATGAAGAAAAGAGGGAAAATAAAATAACTTTTACTTCTATTTACTGGCAACTCTTTTGTTCTCAATGGTGTAAGTTGACAGTTTATAATTTTCCTGGTTCCTCCTTTCAAGTTTCACTGATAATCTTCGAAAAATTTTCGTCTTCAAACGTTTTCAAAACGAGATTTTGTTCAAGCTTGCGATTTTTCAACACAATCAAGCAATTTAAATGATTAGTTGCTGCATTTTACTGTAACTTACAAAAAATCTGAATGTGCTTGAGTTTTGTCTGCGTCTTTGTCTTGAATTGTAATGATAGGAAAAATGCTACAGCTCTTTAAATTATGCCTTACCTCAGATCATTTTCAAAATACAGATTTTTGTGTCTATTTTCACCTTTCATTATTTTTTCTGTGGAAACTTTTAGGTCATCATGCAAAGTATGAAATATCCCATTAAAGGCAATGTTCAATTGAATAGTTTTTCTGTAAACGGATGACTTGACTGATCAATGAACGATAATGAAGATAATTTGGTAGCAGTCTAGTTATACGGAGCCAAGTAGTTACCAGTAGCAGTAAAAAGTCCAGATCTGGACCAAATTGTCCGACCTGAACCATGAAAATTCGCCAGGTCTGGACCAAACGCAAACATTGTATTTTAATCGATTAGTTTTTAATGTTACGCGTTTATATGTGCAAAACAGAATTTTCTTTCGAAAGTATTTTTTAGCTTATCAAGCTTAATCAAATTAAGGTTGTAATAAAAAGGTAAAAATAGTGTGAATTTATACAAATGGTAATCAAAATAAAACATGATGAATACCAATTCACCAATCAAGATTCCGAATTTTGATTATAATTATTTTCCCTTTCGACCACATAGTTGGCTGCCCAGGCTAGATAGGCCCGAAACCAACTAATCGCCACAGTATCACAAATAATAGTCACAGTATTTAACCCGATTTTACATATCTTCGTGAAGTTCTCGTATTTCACGGACCAACTTTTCGTTTGTCGAAATCAGTTGATAAGCCTCATTCGCCTACGTTTCCAACGCTTAGCTTGTGGCCCATTGGTGATGATACCAATGGTCATTTGATTGAAAATTACTTGAGTAGTACCGGGTATTTTTTTCATTTTACTCCTGTTTGTAGAAATAAGTCACGAACAATTGATGCCAACTCAGGGTTGAACCATGAGCTTTTGCAAACTGAAGAACCATAAGTTCAAACTCTCAAGGTCATTCAAGGTCAAACCATTATTTGACCTTTAATTGACATTTGGAGGTCATTTTCTGAGAGTACGCATGGGCAAATAATGGTTTGACCTTGAATGACATTGAGAGTTTGAACTTATGGTTCTTCAGTCTGCAAAAGCTAATGGTTCAAGTCTGAGGTCTGTAGCATCAACTGTTCGTATGTCATGCCTGCAAACAGGCGTAAAATGAAAAAATACTCGGTATTTACTGTAATGCTATAATAAATTTTTGTGATTAAAGTCTTAGCTTTATCTTCATTATTAAATTATGAATGTGAATATGGTTTTATATCCCATGGTCTTGATTCAATCCATCTACATTTTCATATGCTTGAAGATCCTCTCGAGGGCTTGCGAGATTTCTTGCGACCCCATCTCGCAGTCTATCAAATCATTGTCACAGATGCATGCAGTGAGCATTTCAATATGAACGTCACCGAGATAAAACAATGGATGGACAACGAAGATGCTTATGTTTATTTGGTAACCCTTGATGAACTAAGAGGAGCTTTCATCATCCTTAAGGCAGATATTTTTTTTTCTTAAACACGCCAATAGATGGATGAAAATATTTGTTACACTTAAAACGAAATGGTTCTGGATTATTTTCAATTAGTCAGTCGCGACATCAAGAAACTTTTTGCAAAACCCTGAGTCTGTGAAAAAATGAATTATATAAGAATATGTTACAATAAAGATGAATTTATAACAAATCATCCTTATGCAAGTGAACAAAATATTCTTTTCACCAATATATGAGTTTGATTTAATTTTTGAATGCAATGCTTACAATTGTTAGAATATTTCATCGTCTTCTAGGTTTCGGTTGGTCACTATACGCCTGTATCAAGGTCGCTCATTTATTTGACCTCTAATTTACTTTCGAATGTTTTTTTCAAATTCCCGACAAATGACATACTCGCAAGTTTGATGCATACAAGTTTGAGCTAATTGTCGTTTGTTGGAAGCTTGTTCACAAGAAACCAGTTATTTTGTGATTGAATCTTGAAATGACCATCTTGATGGTTTAGCTCCAATTTGGCTAAGCTGTTGAATCAGTTGAATTTTGTAAAAATGCAAAACAAAACGACGTTGTTTAGTAGCCTTGTCAAAGTCTCATCTTGGGAATATTGAAGACAGAATATTTTCATTCCTCAAATACTCATAGTGCTTTGAGTTTACCTTTTCATTGCGCTTCCATCTAGGTGAACTAAAGGACAAAATCACAAAATTTTACAATTAAAACAATAAGTTCATTTTAATGCAATCCCTTGTAGCCACTTTCCCTTCACCCAACAGGGGATGTCATTAACTAAAGTTTTAAAAGTCGTGAAAGTTCAGCTAAAAAGGCTAATCCATCAGGCAAAATGTCAACTTTGAAAAGGCAACAAAAGAAATACCAAAAATGGAAAAGAGAAACAAAATGAGGAAAAAAATTAGATGAGGATATTATTATTAAAAGCATGATTGTTGTTGTTTATGATGATCGCCATCATCATTATATAATGATAATGATGATGGAGTAAGCAGAAAAATTTTTCGCTTGCAAACCTAAATCATTTTTTTGCTTTTCCAGAGTTTCTCAGGTTTAATCATGTAACCTTGTGTTAACCTGTAAACCAAATAAATCATACATGGTAGACCGAATATGTTGACATTGATTGTTATAGAATCAAAATTTACCTTTTTATACAACTCAACAATGAAGAAGCAAATGGTGAAAAAAAGTGAAACTTTCAACGATAAAATTTACTGAAGGAAGAAAAGATAAAAAAGATTTCATCTAAAAATGAAAAATGAAACAAAAAACTAATGAACAAAGTTGCAATTAAATAACGCGCTTCTTAAAGATGTTTACAAATGGATTGTAAACAATATCTTAATTATCGGGTTCAACTTGCAAGTCTTGGATTCAATTTATCTTGTCTCAAGCTTTGTTCACCCAAGTTCATGTTGTCTTATCAGATTATCATCAATCTTAATATTATTATATTATACATTTATCTGTTTATAATGGTAATATCATCAAAATTGATTGTCTTTTTTTTACTCTCAATAAATGATCTTTAAACGTGTTCAATGGTTCACTTAGTTTACCTTTAATAGTCTCATTATCATTGAGCTTTTTGTATCATCACATTAAGCCTTTGTTGTAATGTTTATGACACGCTTTTTTTCATACATTTATTTATATATTTATCCATCAAACTTCATTCTGTCTGTGGCCTTTCAACCTATTATATGATTAAAGACTTCAGGGTAAAGTTACAATGACTGAGTCAAGAAAATGTAACTCTTTTTTAGTTCATTTTTGCCCATTTTTTGTACCATTTTTTTGTTCCTCTTTTCGCTTCTTCCCATTATTTGAGCTTCAGCATTTTTCAACCTTTTATTTTGTTCAACCTGCAACTTGCAAATGTTGTTGGGTAAAGGATGATGCCTTTGAGGCTTTTATCAATGTTGATCAAGTATCAATGTGAAGCTTCAAAAAAGGTTTGATTGTTATTTCATGGTAAACATGATACAGATGGTAATTTTTGTTCAGGTTGGACTTGCATTTTTTTGTCATGAATTTTTTCCCTTTTTTCTAGTCTATAGTCTTGCTTGTATTGTCTTCAGATTCAGCTTTGTATTCAGTTTTTTTTGCTGTTTTACCCCTGAAATTTCCTCAGCTACTCTTGAAATGTTTTTCAAGTTTTAAGTGACTTGATTTCGTTTCTCTTGAGAATCTTTTTGCTTTTTTTCCATGCAACTTTAAACATTTGAGTTCAATTGTTGTTCATCGAGATTCACTTTGTTTTCATTTGTCAATTTTTGTATTTTTGCCTGCATTTGTTTGATTTTTTACCAATCTTCTATTGCAATGTTATCTTTTTGTTGACTGGGCAATTATTTTATCCCACATTTTGCTGAGGTGATCTTTTGCCAAAATGTTTAAACTTTCTGGTTAGTTTTTGTATTTACATTGTTACATTTGACCAGATTTTGTGCAATCTTGTTATTTTGGTCAAGTTTCAGGTTTAAGGGAAAATTTGAAAATATCAAGGGCTTGTGCTTTAATTTAATAACAATTCAATCTTTAATTATACTGCGTCCCCTTTTAATGATCAATGTTCCCTTATCAAAAGCGGTTCAAGATTTTTTTCTTAAAAAATCTTTAATTTGTTTTAATTTTCTGTTTTTTTCAATAGCGTTTTTATTTGGTTTTGGTTCGCCACTGATTTTCGTTAATAGTAAATTTAGTTGATTTTACATCATTTAGGTGATCTTTACGTTAACTGTCATCGTAAGCTGGAAATGGCCAATTTGTGAAACAAAAGTCAACTGGTGTTGTTTCAATGTTGCCCATGTTTATCGAGTTCAATTCCATTGTTGGGTATTGGAAACTACCAGAGTCGCCTTGACTCCATGATTTCCATTCAGTTTGACCGATGAATCCTGGTTTACTGTTAAAAAGAACAGTGATTATCAAGCTGGTAATGGATCACTTTCGTAACATGCAATCTCTAACATACCCATGTTTTGCAAAATTGGTCCAAGTCTGCATCATAATTGAAGATAAAATTACTTCTTCTTTGTCGTATGTTTCATTCACAGCAAATGGATAGCCAAAGACGAAGGGAAGATCATTAGTATGAGTAGCAGGGAACCATGTGCTTCCGGATGGGAAAAGATAGATTGGTTTAGTAATTGATTTTTGACTTTGATAATAAGCGTAAACAGCTGATTGTTTGTTGTCTTTAACAAGCTTACGACCTAATGAGTAAGCTGGACAAGCAATTTGCACATCTCCGACAGCCTTGGATAATATTTGGCGAAGTTTATCGGAATCGTTTGGATCAACATCAGCGAAATAAATTTGCATTAAACTGTCCGTTGAGAATTGTTTGAACCATTTTCTCAGGATATTCCTAACATCCAATGCAGTCAAATTTAGAGGATTAATAGGATCAAACATTTGAGGATCGATGGTAGAGGCCAACGAGAATGCTCCTTCGTACCCAACGGTTCCCAATAAGATGTTTATATTGGGATCAAGCTTTTGTTTAGATATGGCTGTTTCAATTGAATCTGGAATAAATTCATCGCCAACAACTACTCCAACTGAAACTGAATCAGCTTCGCTAACTACTCCAAATTTATAAGCTGCTAAACAAGACTGTACATCTGTTGCTGTGGATTGAGAACAGTTGAGTTTATCAAGGAAAACCAATGAACTTGCATGTCGTGTTAGTGTATTGTTAGAATCAGAGAGGACTCCACTTTGCATGATTGCTTTGTTGAATAAACCTACTAATTGAGGTGATACCATGTGAGCTGATACTGAACGAGATCCTGCACTTTCACCAAATATGGTCACTTTTCCTGGATCACCATCAAAATATTGGATATTATCTTGAACCCATTGTAAAGCCAATTGTTGGTCCCATAAACCCATATTTCCAGGAATACCGTATTCAGGAAGATACAAGAAACCAAGTGGACCAATACGATAATTAACAGTAACAATGATCACATCATTTAAAGCAGCTAACATTGTTCCATCATAAAGATCTGGCATATTCGCTGATCCGCTAATGAAAGCACCTCCATAAAACCAAACCATAACAGATCGACTTTGATTTGTGCTTTCGATGTTCTTAGCCACATTTAAAGCCGAAAAGCTGGTGAAAACATTCAAATAAAGACAATCTTCTGACCATTGAAAATTAATTTGAGGGCAATGAGGGCCCCATCGATCAACATTCAACAATTTATTCCATGACTTCACTGGTAATGGCTTTTTAAAACGTAAATCTCCAATCGGAGGCTCAGCAAAAGGTATGCCAAGAAATTGGTATACTTTAATGCCTCGAAATGTAACCACTTTCCCTTTTAATGATCCTGTTGAAATTGTTAATTGAGCGTCATCAGTAACCGCACTTCCATAAATGAAATGAAGAAGCACGAAAGGCATTGCAGTTAAAAGTATTACAGACATTAGTAAATATATTGGGCTATTTAGTTCACACTTCATGGAGAAATATGTTTTGGTTCTGATTGTGGAATTCAAAAAACATGGAATGTAAACACATTGGCTTTTTGTATTGAGCATCCGAGGACAAAATATAAATGCGATAATTGAGATTTACGACTTCTTAAATAAATGGAACAAAGAATAGATCTTAATCATAATTGAATTACAATCAATATTTGGTACATAGAACCGATAATAAACTAACTTGTCTGCAATAAATTTATTTAGATATACTTATATCTCTGTCATGAGGACAATAATTAATCATTGAATTGATCCTAAATGCCAATATCAATTTATTACTTAAGTGCCTATCGACAAATTGGATTTAATAGTGTAAATTGGTTCTATGATTGAGTTCAAGTTGGCTCCAGAGTCAACCCTGTTTTGGTCCGTTTTTACAATTTCAAAGCATCGGAAATTTTACTTTTTGATCGTTGATCATCTTCAATTTTTAACTTCAATTCATAAGTTTTAGATATTTTGCCTTTTTGACATTTTCTGTTAAATTAAATTATTTTAAGTTATGTTAATAGCACCAGTATTTGAGTATTGAAAAGCTGAGATTAGACGTATTGAACATGGAAAACTCTCAGTTCATATAAAAGCCATATATTGATAGTATAATATTAAGTATAATAATAAGTGTCAATTTATTGTTGCGCAAATCTGCAAAGTTCACAATATTTTGTGGTAAAAATCATTTATCAAAGTCGGGTGTCTCCGACAAACTACTGCGTTCGACGATTAAATTGAATTGAATTTTCGACTGAATGTATTGAAGTACATGTACATGTAAATGTATTATTAATAGAAACTAATTTGTGCTTTGTTATCGTTTTTCCTTTCATCGTAACAAGGAGCCGAGCTTTTGGATTTTTTCATTTTTCTGCGAAAAGAAAAGGTATCGAACAATGAATGGATTGAATTTCGATAAATTTATAGAAAATTCAATACGAAAGGAGTTTGGAAACATGATTGATGTTTTATTGATGCATCGATAAATCAGCAGGAATTTTCAGCCAAATAAAATTTGCTTTGATTTGATTTGAGCAAACCTGAAAATTTTATTTACAATACAATCTAACTGTCAAGTTTTGCTCAAAATTGATTAATTTGATCATTGACATATCCAAACATTGAAATGAAAGCAATGAAATAAATTTGCAAAATTAATTCTCTCTCAGTTGAAGATAGTCCGGACTGTCTGAAAGCCCAATTTTCAGAGCCAAATCTGCCTCTAAATTTGATTAGGGAATTAATTGCACCGATGTTTATAACAAAACTTTGAATAATACAACATCTTAAATGTCTCAATTGATCTAAATATTCAAACTGATGATTACCATCGAACAAGTTGACTTTTATCAAGATCATTGCAAAAATTCAATAAAAAGAGATTATTCCTTATTCAGGCCTCTTATATTGTAATATTGCGTGTTACCTCTTTGGTTGTTAATAAAATGACACAATCAACACAATAGTCCCATTTATGCACTTAAAGCAAACACTGCAAGAAAAATGAGCAAAAACGGGTAAAAATTAATTTCTTTGAAGTTGCTTCTGTTAAACAGATCATTTCAATTTTCAGGTTGACCCACCCGTATTCGATGACCGTAAGAGTTAGAGAGTAATCGTTTAAGCAACTAAATTCAATAAAAATTTGTATAAACTGAATTCTACAAGTATTATGTCTTGGTTAATCAAATCATTTGAAAAGTTTAACCATTAAAGTGTTTTAAGTAAGCTAGTGTACAGATTAATATAACTTTATTTAAAACAACTTTACTGGTTGAGGTACATTTTGATTCTGTCCATATCTTTTTGATTACAGTTTACATTTTTATAGCGATTTTTCACCCCTTACTCTCTTTTGTCAGATACTTCATAGAATTAATTAATTGGTTATTGAGTGCAAAAAGGGTGCATTAATTTGTTAGGAGTAATTCGTTCAGGTTAGCATGAATTCCTTTTTTCACCGTTACACTAGAAAGACACAATTGTCACTTTTATGCACAAATAATTATTTTGTTAGGTGAAAACAGGGTAACAACTAATTTCTTCAGAATTTAAACAGCAGTATAAAAAAGGCATTTCTGGCTCATCGCGAAACCGGTTATCAAATAAAGTTGAAATGAAAGAGAAACTTAATTTAAATTCAAATTTATTTCGACACTTGAACCCAATTATCACCTTGGGTGTCAACAATAACCTTGTTAAAGATGATTGAATGGTTGAATACAATGTTTTTTAATGAATTCAATTCTTCATTTAGTTGAATGATTAGAAAGTTAGCTGTTGCTAACATGTTCTCCATAAGTTGTATGGCAGCATTTTGTTTTTCGATTTGATGTTTCATCGCAGCCAGAGAAGTGTTCAAATTTGAAATTTCAGTTGTTTACACGTTTTCAGCCATAAAAAATACCTTTCTTTGTAAAACTGACGGCAATTCCACTGATGGTCCACTTTCCATAGGAGAAAAAGTGATTGTGTCATCACCGAAAAGATCTTCGATGGTTGCTGAAACTTATTGACGCAAAATAAAATGAACTGTTGATTAGTTGAAGTAGATAAGTTGTCAAATTGTATAAAACTTTTCTCTCTAAGCAAAATTGCTAATGGTCCTTTAGCAATAGATGAATGTAATAAGAAAGCGTTCACTGTTTTGTTTTGTAATAATTTAGTGGAAAGTACACTTTTCGATGACAGAGTATTTTGTAACCAAAGATTCAATGTACGGATATCAAATCCTAATTTTATGGATTGGCTGTGAATTAAGGTTGAAAATTTTTCGAAAATTGAACAATAAAGTCGTTAAATAAACCAATAACAGGGTGCATAGATAATAAGCGATGCTCGATTGATTTTACTATTGGTAAGGAGTGATGCTTTGCTGATCTCTTAGTTAGCAAACGATAGAATAATGCTCCATTATGAATGTATTGCTAATTAATAGATGTTTCATTATTGAAATATTGTCTTGTTATGATATAGCATGATTGCCTTTGTTATTGAAATTGTGTGAGGGAGAAGAAGGGAGATAAAGCGAGCCTTTTGGTATAAAAAGGATTGTAATGGTCAGTTCTAACTCATGTTCACTCCAACCTTTCAGTCTCCAGCCTTAATAGAGTCAGTGCCTGACTTTTAGGGTTCCTAAACACCTACCTTACTACCGATACCATCCACTATCTTGCCTAATGGTTGTTAACCTCTTACTGATTGTTAAACCTCTTGTACCTATTGTCAACTTGTTCCCCTAATATTGTAACTGAGATATGTTGTAACTCAAATCCATCTTCAACTTGTTAACCTTAAATATATGTTGAACTCCTACATGTTTTTAGCCTCCCCTTTAATCAAACAATAAATATTGTGCTTCAGCTGCAACTCTTCGGGCGTTCCTATGAAATTCTTCCAATAAGTATCCTCTAGAAAATGTAAAATTTATTTAAAAATTTATTTTATTAAGCAAATTTATTGTGTTAATGAGCTTGTTTTTCTTCATTTAATTTTCATTTACAATGTCTGTCTAGACATACAGTTCTTTACGTGGAGCAAACTCTAACTAGGTCAGACGATCGCTCGGCAAAATCGGAGCGTTAGTAACGAATTTAAGCTATCGTATTTTTTATTAGATTAAACAAAAAACGAAACTTAACTTCGAAAAAAGTCGATGCATAGTTTTGGTAAATGAATAGACTTAATTTATGAATTGGACATCGAATGTATAATTCCTTTGCTACTATCTAGATATATACATGTGGGGTAATATTTGTTTACTTTAAAACAAGTAAAAAATTTTGGTTATAAAGATTGATAGCTGAGGTATTTAAAGGTTTACACTGAGAATACTTTCACTTTCTATTGGGTGAGTTTGAATGAATGACTGAAGTTTTCGACTGAAGGTGCGAAACGGGTTTTTTTGATGAGTGGCGCAGATGAGACCAATACAAATGATAGGCAACAAAATTAACTTGACATTACATTTTATTAACAGTCTAAGAGACCACAATATTTTCTAAATTTACTCATTGAGCGATGACATCCGATTGCCTTACTTTTTTCTTGCTCTAGAGTCTGAAATATCGCTCTGCCATCTTGTTGATGTTACAACTTCAACTCATTGTTACACAGAGAAAAAGACGGTGAAGCGAAAGAAGATTCAACATTTCGAAGAGGATTTTGTCTTAGTTAGAGCTATATTTTGATGACTATTAGAAATACGATGATGTATCTTTTAGAAATTGAATCGAATATAACAATCATTTTCAAATGAACATCAAATGACCTTTAAAGTCGAAGGGAAAACTCCCGAAAAATGACCTTTGATGGTTGTTTTTTTATTTCCAGATCTGCAGCATGTTCTTAATCAGGCATGTTGCCAATATCAATTTCGGGACCTCATCCGTTTAGGAGATATTATAGTTACAAAAAACTGCTTTTGCATGAGTTTCAGTCTTTTTGCCCTATTTTGGCCATATAGACCTTCAAATGGCCCCTAAAGGTCAAAGGTCGAAATCCCGAAAATTACCTCTGATGACTTTGAAATTGATCGTTTCACTGTCTCAATATTTTCTGTCTAAGTGGCAAATATCAATTTTCAATCACGGAAGAATGACAAATTGGTGGCCCAGGAGTTATTGTCGAGATTGACGAGTGCAAAATTGGCAAGAGAAAGTATAATGTTTGCAGGATGGTGTATGGCCACAAGATTTTGGGAATGATTGAAAGAGGTAGTAATGACTATCGTCTCGCAATATGTCCTGAGAATAGTAGAAGTGAGGAGTCCCTGCTACCCCTGATACAGAAACATGGTGCGCCTAGTAGTGAAATCCATTCTGATTTGTGGCGTGGTTACTATAGCCTGGAATCATATGGATATGTTCATAAAACCGTCAACCACTCTGAGCACTTTGTAGACCCTGAAACTGGAGCCTAAACTCAAAATATCGAATCCAGCTGGAGGTTTCTAAGACGGAGATTGGCTCGTGGAGGCATCAATTCTAATTTCGATCTCCACATGGGGGAATTCCTATGCAGGTCTTTTTGGTCTTGTTATTGGTATTGGCAGAATCAAGATGGTTTATTTAGTTGAACCAAACACTTCAAAAGCGTCAAGAGAAGTAGGGAACAAACTTTGCAAAAAAAATGTAAGCACAAAAACATGCACAGTCGGTGAAGTAGGAGAAGAAGTGAGATAGTCTCCGCATTAAGAAGGCTTTATATAAGGTAGTGCAACTAGAAATTGACACATAAATTTAATTGTTAATTACTGAATAATCAGTTGAGATTTTGATCCGATTTTTTTATTTAAACTAAACAATAACTGACAATACACCATCGACACTTGCTTTTTGGATACTTTTGCGGTCATTTCTACAAAGTCTCTCTAAGTAGTTGAGGTCAAATTCTTTAAGTTTTGATATTATTCTTAATTTCAGTTGGTGATAACTTTTTGCTGACCAACCATCTTGATAAACTTTTTGTTTTAGATGAGCCCAAAACCTTTCTACTACAC